GTTTTCTAGAAAACCAGATCTTCGAAGGGCTATGCGGAAGCCGCATGGTCGTATTCGTAATCAGCATGGTCGATAACCTATAACCCACTAGATTCCGCGCAAAAGCGTTTAATCACTTCGTGGGGTTCCCTCGTAAGTATAGATTTCCTAACGGACATGGACCGTATACTTCTAGTAATCCACCATTAATTCAAGTTTAAAGGGTATGCCAAAATTATGAGATTCTCCGGATGAATGCCACCCGAACTGATGTAGTTTTTTAAATACTAAATCTTTTTTCAAACGACTTTATAATACAAATAGCCACATGTGTAATACATTCTCTTGCACTCCGTTTCGTCTCTAGGACGATCAACACAGAGAAAAAGCCAAAATGGATTGAAAAAATCACGTTGCACAATTATAGCATCCATCTTTTAGTTTTCAATTATTTGTCATAACTCTCGGATTTTACAAGATTCTTGATAGACTTAAAAGTACAACGTTTCGATAGAGAACTTTACGACATACATTTTGATTGCAAGACTTTTTCATACTATTTTTCGTTTAAAAAGAAATAGGTTGCCTACTTTGTGACGAAAAACAATTAGTTCGGAAATCTTTTGCAAACGCGTTCAACTCAGTTTTTCGCACCGATTTCAAATATCATTGTTGTTCAGGTATAAGAAGCTATATTCACATATTCATTCGAATGCTATTAATTGAATTATTCAAAGGGCTCTTGCTGTTAGGCAATTTTTATCCTAACCTGCACACAATAGCCCGGGAGTAAGATAAAATCCTTAAATATATCTCATATTACTGAATCCGAAAACTATTGTCATCATACATCATTGTCAAATACGACCACAGTACAATAGAAAATATCTTATAATTAATTTACAGGATGAGGATGAGCAAAAATAGTAAGATATTTTTCATTCAAAAAGCAGCAGAGCATGAACATATTCTAAGTGAACATTACCTTATTCATTTTTATATCGTCTGGATCGCTCGAAAACTTTGACAATGCTTCATCTTTCCGTTCAGTCAACGGATTTGCCCTGGTGTCTTTACAATAAGACATTTTGAATGTTTCAGCATAGAGTTTTTGAACATTCCATATTTGACGTTTCTGTCTATCCACTTCTCGAAGTTCCTCTTGTTCCTCTTTTGTGAGCTCGAAAAAGAGAATGAACAAATGTTTAACTATATAATAAGGAATATGTAATCATTTTACCTCCTCGTCAATGTTGGACAAGGTTGGTTTTGCGCTCTGAATATATTTTTCACATGCTTCTATCATATCTTTCCGGGCTATTTCCTTATCGAAAATAGCAAATGGATCACTCTCATCTTTGCCTATAACAAGAAATATTTCTTTAATTCTTCTTAACCATACATAGGAACTTGATGCTTGTGTTAAGTCATTTATTGAAGATTTAGCTCCATCAAATACTTTCATCCGTAAACCAACATTGCCTTGCTCTTTATTTTCATTTGGTTTGTTCATTGTTTGATTGTTTATTCTACTGCCGTATCACGTGTACTCTCTAAAATGAGAAAATCGAACTATGGATTAGTATTTCAAAAACAAAACATAAAATATTCTTATGTACTCGAATTAAACTGGATATGAGTTTGATAACGTTGTATCGTTGTAATTCTTCTTTTTTAACTTAAGGTATGACCTAAGTGTGGTGCAATCAAGTCGATTGTTATTTTTATTGTTTACACGTCTCTCTCTCTACATATTTAAATAAAGAGAGAATGATAATCATTCAACCGTTTACAACGTGATACAAAAGAGCCAAAATTGTGAATTCGAAGAAGAAGGTCATAGATTAAATAAAAATCTGATAAAAAATATCACCTTGCGATACATTTCTGAGTGTATACAGAAAAGACCATCAGAGAGAGAGAGGGACGTGTAAACAATAAGAATATATAAACTGACTTGATTTCACCACAGTCAATTGATACCGTGAAAGTCTACAGTATAACGATGAATTCATAGTATTGTCCTATCATACCAACCCAAGCAGATAAAATAACTCATTCGGTAGGTACGGCGAGGGATCGTAAGTTTCCGAATATCCCTACCCGAGGGATCGAAATATTTTTCGAGGGGACGCGCCCCATCGGAATTCCAATCCCTCGAAATGACTAGCCCATCGAAACTTAAATTTC